AACCTGAAGGGATGTTCTTATCTGCAACTCCAGGGGAAGAATAGTTAATAATAAAAAAGTACATGAACCCATTAGCGACAAGAAGACAAAGACCAAATGCAACCTATCTGGATATCGTGTACTAAACAATTTCATCTAAGAGGGAATTCAGCCAAATGTGGGTTTGCATGTCAATGAAAATTAATCTTTAACTATGCTGCAATTACCTGCAAAAGTTTCATAGCACAACTTAACTCTCATATCTACCAGGCAGTCCAGCCTATCATTTAGTGTCTAAAACATGACCAAAAAATTACATACCTTAGCACAATCACCAAGCCAGCTCATTATGCCACGCGCAGCTTGGAAGAGCTCTCCGAGGGCAGCCAGAGTAACCTGTGGCAAAGATGAAATTTAGTAAATATAATCTAGATTTAATAACAATGTTGAAGGACGTTTTTTAATTTTAGCTGATAAAACCAAGAAATTTCTGCAGTTAATTCTTGATTCACAAATAGAAGGATGAAATTTGGTGGCTGGAACACTTAGGAGGTTGTTCACTTACTTTAGCAGCATAGCAAGTTGCAGTGAACAGTAGTCTGTCATCGGTAATAAGACCCTACTCTTCTAATCTTCTTTTTATTTGTTCACGTGCCCAACATAAGTAACACCATATACTTAAGTTATTACAGTCTGCTTCACCAATTTCCTACCAATCTGAAAGATTCCAAAACCATACATTGTCAGATATACGTATGCAATATGGGACTTATTTATCTACAAATATTACCTATATTTAATTTTTGTTGTCTATGTGTATGTTTGTATGCGTGTGTGTCTATATGTAGATGCATGAATGCATACATACTTGTACATGAAGTTTAAGTATCCACAGTTGACAAGTAAAAGTCCATTTTATAGTATATTGCAACTCTGAACTCGAGAAGAATCCAGGAAGATCAACCTGATTGACTAAGATTCTGGCTAATAAAGCGTTTCGACTCGAAGTTGGGTTTTTATTGCTATCTCTTTTCATAATCTCATGTACCCTGACAACATATATATATATATATATACAGAGAGCTTCCATTGAGGGATCCCTCAAATAAGCTTATTTGAGGGATACCCTTTGTAGGGCCCACTCCGGATTGTATTTCACTAATCCAAATCGTCTATTTTATAGATACACATTCAAAGATCATCTCTACAAAAAATAACTTGAATCCGATATCATTTGACCACTCAATTGAGTTATTGAAATTTTAGTACTTTCTTGAAGCACCGTGTTCATTGATTTTGTAAGACACAATTGGATGTCGAAACGGTTTCCAATTTGTCTAATTTTTTGTAAGGATGATCTATGAATGAATACCTAAAAAGTATATGGTTTGGATCATTAAAAAAAAGATTGTAGGATACCCTAAAAGGAGTCCCTCAAATAAAATTATTTGAGGGATCCCTCAATAGAAGGGGATTGTATATATATATATATATATATATATATATAAAAAGAAGATAAGCCTGAGTGAGAGGAGCTCGCAGAAGAAAAGACTAATAAACAGATCAGGAACGAAGCAGTTCTTCTATGAAATATTGCAAGACAAACACACAAGTTCTTCATCTTGTTTCTCTCAAACACTACTTCATGGTAGAAATCTATTCTAAAGAATTGGAATGAATGATTGAAGTAAGGAAGGTTGATACTTATATGAGCGGTTGCGGATATGCAACCAAAAAATATTTTAAACCACCAAAAGATAAGACAGAAAAGTAAGAGAATAATGTTGTGTCGCGTTTTTTGTTTTAGATGCAGGTCCTTTGACATTTATTACTTTTTGTTGTTGTGTCGATTTTACCCTTTAAGGTTAATAAGGAAAACACATTGAAAATCTAAATTTAATGCATTATTTCCTTGTAATTGAATTCCAGAATTTAAATTTTGAATTCTTTCATTGATAGTATTCCTAATATATGGATAAAATACAATTTAATCAATAAAAAGTAAAGACCCACATATTATATCAATCGATCAGACAAGCACCCATTAAATTATGTACCTGACATGCAGGTAAATAGTATTATTATTAGCAATGAAAAATACTTAGTGATAAATCATATTACTTATAAGTTAGGAACATAAATTAGAAGACTACCTATAAGTCAGATACAAAAATAGACAAAATAAAATTGTATGTTACCTATAAAAAAAAGGTACATAAAATACTATTACACATTGTTGAAAATATGAAAAAACATATATATACCTATGCAATAAGCAATATGACATAAATGACTATTACCCGATTCAAGTCATAAGGATCAATATTGAAACAACAAATGATTTTAAAATAAAAAAAATTACATCATAAAATAATTAAAAGTAAATTTAGGTTAATTCTATGTGGCATAAAAGTCAAAGGACATGGATCAAAGTCAACAAATTTAGGTTCTCACAAACCTCAACTTCCTTCATTTAGAAAGACTTATTTCCACTTTTTCTTTTTCATAACACAAATAGCGCAACCATTTTTTGGTCCATCTGCATATCTAATTTGAGGTTTTGTGTAAAGGGAGGGGACTTCGGTTAGTTAGGGGTGGTGTTTTGGGTCGCAGAGAGAGAGAGAGAGAGAGAGAGAGAGAGAGAGAGATGGTGATTGCGTCTGGGATGGGGATGTGGTGGCGACTGGTGGAAAGGCTTTACTTTTATCTTTAACTTTGAAGTTCCTTAATGTTTACTTCCAAAAGAGTTAAAGTGATTGTCAAGAAGATTATAAAATTGCATCTGTTATCATATATTCTTTTTCCAAGCATGCATGGCTCTTTTTGACACTGAATTCCGCCAAAGCATGTATTAGTATATGTCGTAAGTATCACTAAAACAAAATTACGGACAGCAAAACACACATTAGCATAGAATGCAACGATGCAATCTATGCTTGAACTTTTGTCCTAGATATTATCAAGAAAATCAACATGTTACAACCAACATGATACGGCGAAGCCATGACTTCATATATCCAATAACAAAGTCTCACCCATTGAAAAAATAATAATAAAATATAACATTTACACATTTGAGAAGTTTTCGTAAATGCATACGCCAATGCATAACAAAATGCGATACAAACTATTCTTTTTCCTACACCTCACAATGTAATGTATCGATGCCATATTTAGGTCACACTTTAAGGATTGATCATCAGTGAAAAATCAGTCATATTGAAAGGGGGTTTCTCACTTTTATTATTATTATCATTTTAAAAATACAAGTTTTAGTCTAAACTGAATGAAAGAAGGAGGTTTCTCACACATACACTATCACACAGTGTCATACGGATTTGAATTTAAAACTACTGGTCTGCAAGCCAAGGTTCTTTTATATAAACCCTCATTGGCACCTCACTTCAATTTTTTAATTAAGTGAAGTTGTCGTGTTCTTTTATTTATTCAATTTGACTCATTTATCCGAGGGATGGTATTTGAACATGCTGTTCCTATTAAATCGCACTAAAACTCTATTTTTCATGTATGTTTGTGTAGGATGAAGGAAAAACAAAAACAAAACAAAAATTCTGGTGTGGAATTTACTCTATTTTCTTAACGAATCACATAATATGAAACATTTGTGTTCTTGACTTGGGCCAGGATTGTGGGAGGTGGAAGATATTTTTTTTTGGGGTCAAAGTGGGAGGTGGAAAGGCAGGTTAACTTAAAACAAGGGTCAATTATTTAATAATGGAAAGCATTAGCCGTGTGAGGTGGTTTCCTTCCTGGCAGGCCAATGAGCGTGTTGACTGAGTTCTCCATTGGACTAAGCCCACAACAAGAGACTTTGAAAGTGACGAAATACCATTGGTCACGCCGTGAACGACTTGACGTATTGATCTCTGTGGTCCCTCCCATGATCCCATCTCCTACTTCCGGAAATACCCTCATACTATACTTAAACTCCAATCCTACCATTTGCTAATTTTGACCGATTCCATCAACTACGCAAATAATTCTCTTTTGAATTATCAATAGTTTATAAATGAACTCGAAAAATAAGCAATAATTTGTTTGACGAGTTATCTGTAATTTACTCTAACTAATTTCCAGCTTTCATGAAATAAGGAAGATTTTCTCGTTAATGATTGGGATTAGGAAAATCAATAACCAACCCGCTAAATAAGTTAGAAAAAGAAATTGATGATATGGTGGTGGGAGCAGGGTTAACGACTCCAATGAAACTTGCTGAATAAGAATATAAATGTTCCTTTTGTGTAAACTTTGAATAAGGTGAGATTATGATGCAAGGGGTATGGAATATATGGGAAAAGTCAATAATATACATGTACACTTTTCAATTTTTCATTAAGAATGCTGAGAAGAACAAATGGCCTTAATAAAATTCTAGAGTATAGAATTTGAGGGACCGGACTATTCTTATTGTGTAATCTTGTATATTTAAGCATGATAGTAAAACGAGCGATTAAGAGAAAGAGAGTTTACACATAAATATTCATTAAGTGCTTGGGAGTTTCGAACTTCTATTTACATAAATGAAAGTAGAAGAGCTCAACTAACGTATAAAATAATTTTAAATTTTAAAAAATCTTTATAAATTATATGAATGAAAATATTCCAATTAAAAATGACAGAGACTCAAACATTAAAAATAAATAAATAAACAACAACAGTTGAGAAATTTCATAAATGCTATAAAAATGAGGAGAAAAAAATAATAAGTATAAAGCATCATTCAGAATATGTTATCTTCCAATTTACTCCATAATCAATATAAACCTTGACTCTTGGCAAAGAAATAGAAAGAAAAAAAAACCATTGACTTCTAAATAACCAATACATTGACTTGGTTGGTTTCTTGGAAACTCAAGGGTAATCTTGTATCATAACGTCCAACCTACTTTCCTATATACCTTCTTCCAAAACATTTCTTCTCCAATATCCCAATCTTTTCTCCTATCCCCCTCCTCACATTTCTCTCTCTGAATCAACAACCCAATTGAAGAAAAGTCTCCATGGATAGAGAACAAGATGAACTGCAATTTCTTGGGATCTTTGGCATCTGCAAAGAAGCCTACAAAATTGTATTTTCATGGAGAAAAATCTTCAGCCAAATCACCTTAACACTGATCCTCCCTTTGAGCTTCATCTTCTTGGCTCACATAGAGCTCTCAAACATCCTTCTCTTAAGGATCATCCATAACGAAAGAGTCTTAGGCCGAACAAACACCAACAGTCCAAGATATCAAAGAGTATCAGATGTCATATCCTCTGAGTGGGCATATTATTGGCTTTTCAAAGCTGTATACTTTACTTTTGCGCTCATCTTCAGTCTCCTCTCCACCTCGGCCGTGGTATACACGATTGCGTGTATATACACGGGGCGAGAAATCACCTACAGGAAGGTGATGAGCGTCGTCCCGAAAGTGTGGAAGCGAGTCATGGTGACGTTCTTGTGCACTTTCTTGGCTTTCTTTGCCTACAACATAGTGGCTTTTATTGTCCTAATTATTTGGCTAGTTTCGGTGGCCTTTACTGACGCTGGTGCTATTATTGGTTTCTTTCTGCTCATCTTTTACTTCATCGGGTTCGTTTACTTGTCCTTAATCTGGCTACTGGCGAGCGTGGTGTCTGTGTTAGAGGAAGCAAGAGGGATCAAAGCCATGACCAAGAGCAAGGCGTTGCTAAAAGGAAACATGTGGGTGGCTGCAATTATTTATTTCATGCTCAATGTTCTGGCCGCCCTTCTGCAGTTTGCATTTCAAAAGCTAGTTGTGCGTGGATATTCATTTGGTGTGGTGGATAGAGTTGCTTATGGATTGATATGCTTGTTGCTGCTGTTCAAGCTCATCTTGTTCTGGCTTGTCACCCAAACTGTGCTCTATTTTGTCTGCAAGTCTTACCACCATGAAAACATCGACAAATCTGCCCTATCAGATCATCTGGAGGTTTATTTAGGAGACTATGTTCCTTTGACTGCTAAAGATGTTCAGCTTCAGCAAGTTTATGTTTGACCAAATATTAGTCCTTGGCCGGTGATGATGATGATATTAATTTCTTTTGTAATGTCTACCTGTCTTGATTATTATTAGGTAGAACCATTAAATATATCTATGTTTATGTAATCATAAAGTAGTTTTTGTAACCCCACTTGTGATGTTCAAGCTTTTGACCTTTCCTCTTCTCTACCTAAATTTTTGAGTAATGCTTAAAGCAACACATAGGTTGATTGATATTTGATGTGATCAGCATGATATTTTATTTGGAAAATTTTGGCAAGGACATTTGAAGTGGATTTTTGAGTTTTGGGGTCCCAAAATTTATGGCAATGGGGCGAATCAAGGATGGGTATGCTGTTTTCATCTTCATCCCCGTTAAGTATTTTTCACATATCATTTAAGGAGCCAAGCCATACTTAACCGTAAAATTCAGGAGGCAAATTGATAAATTCCTCCTTGTAGATGCTAGATTCATAGAATGATGAAGCTTATAAGGTTTGGGCCGTGGACTTTGATTAAAGCAGGTAGGCTTTCTAGCATGAGGGTGGAGATGTCTTTATTTCTATTGAGAATAACTGGCTCAGGTATCTCGGCCCATATTGACCTGTGCTTAGTTTGGGCTTCGGCCCAATTGGTGGTGGTGTCGTTGTTTTGGGGAGGTTGCTATTGAGGGAGATTGGGGTGGGGCCGGACATCTTGAGAAGATTGAGGCCGGAAGTGGGGACGGGAAAACAAGGAGGAGAGATTGCGTGGGGGAGGAAGGTGGCAGGAGGGGTTGGTGGTGGTTGAGGTTCTCTTTCGGGGATGGTTGGGGTGGGGCAGGTAACTTTTCTTTTCTTTTCCTTTTTTTTTTTAAAGTTAATTTATTGGTTTATAAATAGCATTTCTTTTTATTTTGTTCCGTCTTTGATAAATTTGTGATGTGTCTCGGTATAATTGCTAAATCCTTAGTATTATAAGGAAACAGTCCCCTTTTTATTGAGGGATTCAATGATACCTTGTATTTTTCAAATCTTCATTCATAAGAAAAAATTTGCACAAATCAAAGGTCATTAAGACTTCTAATTGTGACTTAAAAAATAGCAATCATGGTGATTTAAGAAAATACAAAAATGACAAGCATTAATTAAGTCATCAAATGATTTCGGATTCAAGTGGTTTTTGTTTTTGTTCTTTGCACAATGATCTTTGAATGAATAGATAAAATAGACAATTCTGATCCTTTAAATACTATGTGTGTCGGCCCCTACAAGGCTGTCACTCACCTTATTTAACCTTATTTGAGGGATATCTCAATTGAAGCTCTCTACATATAGAAACTACTTCCCCTCCTTTCCTTACAAATAAAAACTCCTACTTTCTTACAAATCACACTGAATAGAAATTTCTCTTTTTATGTTTTTTTTTATAAGAACAGGGAATGTCTCCTTGTAAGGAATGGGACAAACAATATCCTTTTGATATTTTGTGGTATTGAGCTTATGAGCCTTGTGGAGTTGTTATTTTTTTAACCAAATTTTAAATTCGTTTACTCAACACCATCCCCCTCTCTATTCGTCTAGGCTACACCATATTTTGGAAATGCCTAAAATGAATTTTGTTTTCCGTGTTGGTAGAAAAAATTGCCTTTCCATGATCTTAACCTGTTCCTAAATTTTAAAATTTGATAGGATACGTAAGTTTAATAGGTAAAATACAAGTGCCACCTGACTTTGGAAATGCTGTCGAATTGTTAATATTAGAATAGATTAAACCCTAATTATTCTAATATTTCTCTCCTCTCCTTTATCCCCTTGAACTAGCAAGAGATTGAACCCTTAACATATTATAATCTTAACTTGTTTCTTCTATCCTCTCCTTGGCCCCTTGCACTAGCCCTACCTAAGGAGGTAAACTTGACATTTTTGCGTTTGAGTTGACAAGTAGAGGTCTTGGCTTTCTGTCAAATACCCAGCACAAACAATGTTATTTTAATTACTTAGAAAGGAAAAGGCATGCCAAACACCCCAAAATCCATGCCTTGAGAAGAAAAGCAAATCACAAAATAAATCTAAAATCAGCTTGTAAATATAGTCGAGCTGGTCAGTTAACTCTTTTTCTTGTCCTGATCCAAAGCAAAGCTAATGTCGCTTATTATCATTTGCGCATCACGTGAAATGCCAAATAATCCACGCCTTGAAAATCCAGCGCAGTAAAGACCGTTCTTCCCCTTCCAGTTATTTGGGAAACTTTGTTTCGGCATTCCATCGTCATTGAAGAGATGGTGCCCATCCTGCAACATTTACAAGTACATCAGCAAAATAAAACGTAGTGAAGCTTTATATTTCCATTAATAAACTGCCCTAATTCGCTCACGCCATCGTAAAAATTCGACTCTCATTCTACTCGTTTGAACTAGCAAAAGAAAAGGAAAATATTCAAAATCATAAGTAATAACCTTCAGCCAATTTAACACAGTGCTTTTGTAGCCAGTAGCAAATACAATAGCATCAAAGCGATCTTTGCAGCCATTCTCAAACTCGATATTGTCTCCTTGGATGCTTGTGATGGATGGAACGACCTGGGGAAGATTGTCAATGTTATCATCACCAACTCATGTAAAGGGAAATAACTTACCATAAAAAGGTAAGTAATTTGAGTGACTACAGAATAAAGAAGGAATCATCGTGAATCTACACACACATATTTATATAGAATAATATTCTCTTGTTATATTGTCTATTTGAAATACTAATTAAATAAAAAAAATTATTAACCTCTAAAATAAATATTTTTTTTAGTACAAGCGTTAGTATAAACTAGAGAATTTATGAGAAGACGGAATTTCTCACACACACACACAACTATGATGCCGTGAGGATTTAAACTTAAGACCTCTAGTCTATAAGTCAAGGCCCTTAAAATCTGTCGTGCAATGCTAGATTTTCCAGAAAAATTTATTAAAGACAAAACTTAATTTTTGTTTAAATGTAGCGTGCGATATTTCAAAAGAAAACAGTGATTTATATTAGTTTCTGTACATATATAATTTATTTAAAAAAATGAAGTTATTATATTCATTGCATATTTACCTTTAATTCTCCGGTCCTGATCTTGTTAACGCTCCCTACATCAATGATGGGGGCTTGACCCTTTTCCTTGAGAAAAAATGGTCCACTTTTGGGCCTTCGAATTCCGTACTTGGATAAATCTCCAAACCTTAATTTGCTTAAGACAACCATAATGTTGTCGACCAACTTAATAGGAATGTATTTTGCCATCACCATTCCAAGGAACACGATTTCCTTGGTGAGAACATGTATCTGAAAATTTTATATGTGGTAATAAATTAGGTACTAATCAAGAAAGAAAGAAAAATATCTAAAGAAGAATTTAATTTGGAAAAATGTTAGTCTTACCACATTTGTATACCACATTCATATATCACCTTATGTGGCACATGAGGTGAACAACCACGTTAATTAAAATTAATTTAATATTTTCTTTTCTTTTATGATTTATTGACACTTTTTAATCGATGTGGTTGTCCACTTCATCTGTCACATAATGTGGTATGAGAATGTGACATACAAATGTGGTAAAAATAACATTACTCTTTAATTTGTATGAGGAGATTAGAAAGAAAGAGATATAAGATAAAAGTTTTACCGGAGTACGGACAACAATGGAAGTGTTTGCACCCGAATTTGATAAATCATAAGCAATTTCCATGCCTGAGTTCCCACAACCAACGACCAAAACATTTTTTCCACCATATTTCTTGCCATTTTCATACTTACTTGAATGCATGAACTCCCCTCCAAAGCTATCCAGGCCTTGCACTTGAGGAATATAACCCTCACTATTTTCACCACTTGCAACCACAAGACACTTACCAAGGTAAATTTCTTGCGCTTCCAAAGATGCGTTCTTCACAATGACGTGCCATTTTTCGGCATCTGCGTCGTAGAAAGCAGTCTCCACAACGCGGTGGTACAGAGGTTGTATCTTGAAATGAGACACATAAGAATCCAAGTATTCAACAAACTGATCCTTGGGGACATACTTTGGTGCATTTGGAGGAAAGGGCATATGGGGAAGCTCGCAAAATTGCTTTGCCAAATGAAGCTTCAAACGATCATACGACCTTTTCTTCCAAAGAGAAGCATAGCAATCTTCTCTTTCAAGTACAACGTTTGAAATGTTAAGGCGGTTGAGACATGCAGAGGTTGCAATGCCGGCAGGACCAGCACCTACAATCACAACATCCACTTGCTCCATTTTTGGACAGCAGAAAGAAGGAAAAGAACGACAATGAAAAATGTTTTCAAATTCGATTAAAGGGTTTTCGAGGTTTTGCAAAAGCAAGAAGAGACTTTGAATCCAGGTGGTTTATAGATTTGAGTTTCCTATGTTTATATAGCAGACCGTTGGATGATATATTTGGCATTTAATTAATGGTAGTTGGTAGCACAATGTTTTGTGGAACTTCTATATATATAATTATCCAAATACAACGTACTAAGATAATTCAAGAAAAATATATGAATTTGCAATTTACAATATTATACCATGTATGTGTGTTACTGGTACATTTCAATTTCCTTTTTTTTTTAATTGTCTAAATAAGTCGATTATCAAATAGTACAAGTGTTTCCAAACTATGATAATCACCTTAATTAGAGACCGGTCATACTAAAATAGGCCCTTACAATTTAAAAACTCTAGACGATAACCCACTAATAATACAATGTTTAAGTAAAACCCAATTTTAAATTATATGATAAAATTTGTCTATGTAGGTTGATTTATTTACAAATCATGCCACTAAATCTTTATTTAGTTGCTAACCGTTTTTCAATCACCTATTTAAGGCAAATAAATAATACATCACTGCACATTTTTGTTTCCGCTCCCATAAATAATGGGCTACAATCAATTACTTCAAATATTCACTCATAACCTCCTATAGCTCGAATAAATAAATTTTATTATACCTAATATCTTACAATTATATTTAAACATTATCTAATATCCTCCAATGATATAGATGTATATGTATATGTATAATATATATTCTAACGGTAATGCTACGGGCACCAATTCTTTTCCCAACTTTTTGTTACCAACTGACATGGCATATGACATGTCAATGCAGGTCATGTGCCGCATCCTCATTTTATTTTGTCTTATTTTTTTAAACCCTAAACTCTAAACATGTCTTCTTCTTTTTTATTAACCTGGTATTAATTTTTATAAATTTTATGTGTTTATCTCCTCAACAATCATCTCCACCATCGTTCATCCATGGAACCCAGCCACGACCTATGAACCGTACACCCTCCATTGCCGCTCCACACAGCTCCTCCATAGCCTCTTTTGTATTCACCACCACCATCACTCAAATTTTTCAGAAAAAAATCCAGATGGAAGAACACCATTTTTTTTATTTTTTTTATTTCATGAAAGAAAAAAAAAATCAGTTGCATGGAATACTCATCTATATATGTAATTCCATAAGATCAATTTTTTTTCCTTTTTCTTTTTCATGGTATCCCGAGCCATAACATAAAATCTTCAATGTATCTTTAGGATTGCAAAGAAGAAAAAGCAATAATACTAATTCACAAACCCAGATGAACGTCACCATAATAACTTAATACACATATAGAAACTAGTAGAAGAAACCAGATTTGAGTCTCAACTTTGATGAACTTGGAAGACCATCAACTATGAGAACCCCATCAAGAAAGATGAAGGGCTCGGGACCAAACCAGAGGTGCACCTCGTTGCCCAGTCTGCAATATATG